CAACAACATCCTTACACTGCTAGTGCCCACCCACAAAGCCACTCGGGAATTCATTTAACCAGCGCTTTGGCTCCGTGGGCGGGTCCTACAGCGTGATGCACAGGACTGGGCATGAAGCAGCGACACGCGCAACTCCACAGTGGAGGGGACCAAGCAGGTATTCATCCAAACAGAAGGGCACGGCCACAGAAAATAAGACACAGACGGCAGGAGACGAGACGAGCCGAGCAGGAAGCAACGGGACGGAAACCTCTACCCTCCCGTTGCCATGGCAACACCAATCAGACACGAGGAGGAGGAGGAAAGCTGCGGGGGGGGGGGATGAGGGCGGGAATGCAGAACAGGGGAGCTGGTTGAAGTTGCCCTTGCAGGTTGACTGGAAGTTAAATACTTTGTCCAACTCATTAATGCACTTTTAATGAGGGTCGGTTGATGTCCAGTCCGGGCCGGAGGGCAACTTCTACCCAGAGCAACTTCTACCCAGAGCAACTTCTACCCAGAGCAGGGGGCAAAGCAGGGGGAGTTGCAGAGCGAGAGGAGGGGGGGGGGCGAGCAAGCAACACACAGAGAAGTTAATGAATGATAAAGAGCTTACTTCATTCAGAAAGCTGACTAACTGCTCTACAGTTAAATAATCAGTTTTGTTCCCATTGCTGCAAAGGAATTAATTAGAAAAAAAAACAATGTTATGCCTCTTGAAAAAAATGGACATCCTCTCAGTCATTCACATCAGTTAAAATGAGCAAGCAGTCTTTGAAAAGGGGATCGTACTCAAATGTTACACGTTTAGTAGTAACATGTTAATCGTCACTCATAATTAATGTTGAACTGTGGAAGCAGGTTAGGCTGTCCAGACGTTGTTAGTGCAGCAGGCGCAGAAACATTTCTTCTGATTATTTCCAACAGGATGGAGTAGCTCACACTCAACAGTCTTTGTTCTATGTAGGCACAGGGTAACATGGGAGTAAAGAAATGCTCGGGTGCTACTGTTACATGTTTATCTGGAGGATTGAGCACGTTCTAGTAGTCATTTGAGGTATAAAATCAGTTAATATTACAATTAAACAAAAACAAAGGGCAGGCAGGTTAAAAAGAGGACGCTCACATGTTCTTGAAGAGTTCCTCTATGTCTGTGCGAGGGCAGATCTTCTGTGTGAGCGCGTAGAAAATGTCGTAGGTGAAATCTGACGGTTCAATCTCATCATTCTGTGGGAGATAAACGGCCGTTTGGTAACATGAGAGCCACAAACCTACAGTTTTCAGTGCCACATATGATCCATCTGGTTCATACAGTCCACGGTCAGAGTTGTCTGACCTTTCCACTTGGAAGGCCGAGATCCTTCAGAGCCTGGAAGATCCCCTTCTCGGTTTTTCCTGACGCAAACGTTCGAGTAATGCTGTAAAACGAGAGAGGAAGACAGAAGGAAAGGTGAAGAGTTAAGTGAGACAAATTGGAGTAGACTGGGTCGGCACAGTAGCCGTGTTTCACAGATCTTTATGTGCATTTTGAAGTATTGCATTAGAAAAGCTGGACGGCAGAAACGGCAGAATTTGAGGAAAAATGATGTTTTCATGCTCACTTGAGGTTGTTTTATCTTTGGCAAAAAAAAAGTTGATGCGCTGAATCGGATATGGAAAAGCCTTAAGCTGATTAGGAATGCAAATTAAATATTTGCTTCGTCAGAATTCTTTCAGCTGTTTCTGCTATTGGCTTCTTTCTGGATATGTATTTATACTTTCTTCATCTCCGGACAACATGAAACATGCTACTTAACATGTAACTTTAAACAAATTCCTGAAACCTTTTTCCTGTCCTAGATGGTTGGATGGTGAAGGCGATCTGTGTTTTAACTTCTACTCTACTTCACTTTCTGGCAGATTACAGCCATGTGCAGCTCATAGTGCCAACTTCTGACCAAACTACGCCGTCGCAGAGTTTAAACGCTCCAAACAGGTTGATGGACACGCCCCTCATTTGCATTTTTTGTTTTCCGACATTTCAAGTGTCTGCTTATAATTTGCTCGACATGTACACATAGCGAGTGGTTGACCAAATATCTCATTCATCTACTCTTACCCTCTCACAGGAATCTTCCCATTCACATTGGTCTGGAAGCACATTCTCATCCAACTAGAAGGAGAGAGGGGCATTAAAAAAGCACAGATTAGAGAAATGGCTGATTCATTTTTTTACCAGGTATCTACAGAGAAGAACAAAACCTAAATCAGAGTTTATATAATTACTACTCACTGTTTCTTGAGGCAGGTCATTGGACAGACGTTGTTGGCCTTAAAGTTGTGAATCACAGACCTCAAACCCTCGATCCACTTCTGCAGACAAAACAAGCAGCAGTATGAAGTCTTAACACACGGACAAACCAAAGCCCACACATACACAGGGTTGTGTTTACAAGGGAGTGTCTTTGGGGAAATAAACACAAGCAAATTAATTGCCTCTTAATTCACACACACGGGCGAGAGCCTGGACAGGACAATCAAGAACATACACGCACACACACACACACACACACACACACACACACTCGCATATACACACAGTGATAAACACAGTGAGCTGTTTCAAGTCTACAAGCAGTGACCGGAAACGAGAGAGGACGACAGTCGGAACATTTTTGACCCCTCTGTGTTTCCGTCTCTAAATGTCTTTGATTCTAACTCCGTCTTTGTGCTCCGTCTGTCCTCCACTTTCACAGAAAATGATGACTGGCGTCATTATAAAAACATTAAACAAGATAACGGGTGCAGCAGGGGTAGTCTGGTTGGGCATGTGGCCCTATGTGTGTGAACGTGTCTCTGATGATGTAAATAACTCTGTCATCTCCCGAGGTCTGCTACTTAGGGCCACCTGCATGCTGGGAAGTGGTGATGGTGTGTGTGTGTGTGTGTGTGTGTGTGTGAGTGTGAGTGTGAGTGAGAGAGAGAGAGAGAGATGTCAGGAATAAATGTGTGAAGGACGAGGACATGAACCTGGATCTGTGTGTACGTGTGCATGCGAGTGTGTGTGTGTGCCTCCTTGCTGAAGGCTGTTGTACAAATATCATTGGCAGCCCTGTGGCAGGGAGCTCTCTGGAGCGCAAACATCGTTTATAACACCCATCACCACAAAAACACACTCTCATGGGCGATGCATAAACAGCAATGCTGCGGTGCCAAATAACAGATCTGTGCCGGCACAAAACACGCATCTTCAGTTTGGTTCGACACTGGCGGAGATTTTAAATTGTGGGGACATTTTGTTGAGTCAGAACTGACATCTTTTAATACATTACAAAAAGAAAGATAAATTCCTCAAGGCTAGCAGTGTGCTGTGACTTTTAATCATTGTAGTGGTGCTTTGTTACTGCCAGTAGACTCTTTTCACTTGTCTCAGCCTTTGAGCCACACTGGATGTGTCACTAAATAGAAGAGATCATTTTTCATGGTTTTCTTTTTTTCTTCTGTCTTGAAGCTGCCTGTAATATAATATAATATAATATAATATAATATATATATATTTTTTTTTTATAAAGACCTACATTACTGGCCAGAAACTATTAAAACACATGAATGAGTCACTGTTGCACTGGGTGACATGTTTCTCTATTATGATGAAGTTTATTTTGAGTACACCATCATGCTGCTGTAAATACGTACTTGCATACCAAATGTGTTTTAATCTGCTGCTAAAAATAGTCCCCAACAAATGGGTAACGTTTTAAAAACTGCGGTGCTCAACTGTTTTATTAAATAACTTCAGACTTTTAAAAATGAAGCTATTATTTCTGTCTCCTTTTAAAAGATTTAAATCTTTAACAGGAACTGCTTTTGGTCTCTTTATAGGATTTGTTGACAATAAGTCAAATATAGAATAATGCTGACCTTCTCTTTTGAAGAATTGCAGAAATTGGTTTCAATTATCCTAGAATGAAGCTCTATACCACTACTGACACTGCAATTCTTTGGTTCAAGTATCGTACTTCAAATGCGGATCAATACAGATCCAGGAAATTGAAATGTAATCTGCACATACAGTTGTTTATTGTGGGCTGTACAGGATGTGTACAATGTTTGCCAGCAGGGGTCATCAATAACAATGTCTGCTGATTAGAAGAGAGAAAGAGAGAGAGAGAGATAACGGGGTGTCATCTGTCTGAGCCCAAAACTAAAATTGAAGGGATGAGTGAGAAAGAGAGAGAGAGAGCGATAACGAGAAGGGTGGAGAGGTGTCATTAACACAGAGCCTTTTCCTAGATGTGTGAAGAAAAACAAAGAAAAAGAGAGTTGGAGTGCGAGAGAGAGAGAGGAGAGAGAGAGAGAGAGGAGGGAGAGAGAGAGAGAGAGCGAGAGAGAGCGAGAGTAGACGAAGAGCGAGACAAAAAGCATAAAAAGATAACAGCAGAAGCAGAAGTGCAGGAGGCACAAAGGGAGATAGAGATGAGGTGACACACACACATGACTCATTCTAAATCTGTCTATTTATCAGAGTGAATCAACACCAGATGTAATTTGTGTAGGAGTGGGCTTATGAACCATTCACCTGGCAATTTGTTTCTGAAAAAAATATTTGCTGTGTCAGGGTTATTTTAGCCTTCATACCGTTTGATGCAGAATGAATTAAGGGGTGAACTCCATGTGCTAAGTAGAGCTTACGATTGTTCCATGATCACATATTTGTTTCTGACCGTCATGAACATTCCCCTTAAATAAGTAAATACAGATATACAATACAAGTTAGATTTGTCCAAAACCGCACACAGTGGATGCAGGTGTTTACCCTGGCTGTGTCGGGGCTCTCCGCCACCATGAACATGAAGTTGAGGTTGACCAGGTCTGTGCCGCTGCAGATGCAGATGATGCAGCCCTCCAAGTCCGCCTCCGTCTTTCCAAGGGCCTCGAATGAAGACAAGATCTTGGGGTCCTGAGGTAAAAGAGAAAGCAAGTTTAGTAAAACGCTGTCAGATTCTCTGTGATTTGGAACACATTATGCGTCCGTCTGACAAAAACACGCCCAGAAAGACAAAAAGAGATGAAGACAGAAACAGAGAAACATCTTCAGAAACATAGAAAACAGATGAGAGGTAAAGCCGTGGTGTTCAATAACTTACAAGAGGAAATGAAAGAAAGTTTAAGGGAGGGTTCAATCTCCTATTCTGGTATTGTTGCCGTAAATAGTCACTGACAAGAAAACAATTTAGAGAGAAGACAGTTGAAATGTTTAGTGGAGCAGTGGATAAGACTCAGGATGTTGAAAAGTATGATAAACTGTATGAATCATGCTTGGGAGACTAAAGCTCAGCTTAAAGGGATACGATAAACATCCATCACGGAGGAACATATTACAATACTAAATTCAAAAGAAATCTTAGCAGCTCGAAAAGTTCCAACAAATCCAGATGTGGATGTGTTCAACAGTGCTGGTAAGAAACACTGCAGTGGTGAGTAACACTTGAATGTGAGGAGGATCGGCTCAAAGGACGTTAACTGGCTCAGTAAATGTGTAGTTTGGTTTAACTTCACTCAAAGGCGAAAAGCAATCAACAGTTAAGAAGCTGACTTAGTCTTTTATGTTGTTAACATGTTTTGGAGCCATATAGTTGACAAATGCAATCCTTTAGGCTTCTGACAGGTTTCTATTCACTGCACATGTTGGACTTGACACTTGTCCACCATGTTAATGGGTTTAATGTCTGCACAGGACCCTCATGATGTCTAAGATCCGAGTATCAAACAAGGAAAATCAACATTCAGACGGCAAAAATGATTGATTGATTGAGACCTTTTCTTTTCAATGCTACAACAAAAAGCAGCAAATACGGACCGGTTTGGATTCTGATTGAGCACATAATGAAAAGGCGGGAACCCCATCGAGCCGCTATTGATCTCAGAAAACATTAGCATGTGCTGGATGTCACCAGCTAACGATGAGAAGCACCATAGAACAATAAAAACATTATTACTGAAACTACATGATTCATGGCTTTTGCTTCATTTAGTTCCCCGCTGTTTGTGTCCCTCCACTAACAATCTTTAAATAACACGATCTAATTCTACAACAAATACGAAAACCAGCATTATACACTTAAGACATAGGACTGTAAACCTGTATTTTAGACATTTAAATGACTATAAGGCTTTAAATTTAAGTTCAGTTTAAGTTCAAAATCATTCTCTCGCAATCAAAAACACAGCACGACTTTTCCGATTTCAGTCTGCCACCATCGTCACCATGGAGGTGCGTAGTGTTTTTTTGTTGCACGGTTGAATTAACAGCAACAGGCTGAGCCCTTTCGAAACCCCAGCCAGCAATCATCCAGTGCCATTCATCTTTTCCCGCTCATTGGATTATGTGAAACAGCTCTCGGGGGCTTGTGTAACCGCGTTAGCCTCTAAAGAGAAGCCCCCGGTGCTCTCTGTTGTTCTTAGTCGGCTACTTACAGAACACTATACAGTGTTTGAACAGACAGGAGGGGCTGCCATCAGCCTGCAGTATCTGTATACGTGCCCTTACACATGTACATACACACACACGTCCACACCGAGCAAACAGACTGCTGTCAACAATACATACACAAACTGGTAATGCTTATGTACACAGTGCACACCGGTGTCGCCTGTCAGGTGTTTGACTTTTAGTGGCTCGACAGGCTTGCATCCTAATTAGAGGCAGGAGTCCACATGGCTAAAACCGTAACAGCTTTCATAATTCATCTTGTCTGTAAGGTTCAATACTACGACATAATGTTTCACTGTCCAAGCTAAATATGAATCAATATTTAATTTACAGAGAAACAATACAGGTTTGTGCGTGTGTGTCTCTGGCTCCATAGCTAAAAAGATTGGTTGCCAGCTGCTCTGAAAATACAAAGCAATGCAGCTGCTTGGTACATATCGGCTATTTCTAGATCCGTTTCTCATTACAGGACAAGGAAAGGTCGCTCTGACAGAGACGGAACGACTTATACCTGAGAGATCGTGATCCCACAGAGTGAACTCCTTAACCCAGTTGTCCTCTGACAGCCCATCTTAATAGGACCGGAAGCACAATGTTTCATTATTCCTCTCTGTGTCAAAGAAAATAAAGGACCCGCAGCTAAACCCAGCCAGGGTTGTATAAATATTGATGAGTTCAATATTTTATGTTTATGTTCTGCTAATGCCCCTGGTGAATCCGGGAGAGGCTCAGGAGTGAGAACTCAACTGAGAGTCCCAGATCAGTCGGTCGATTGGTAGAATACAGCGCTGTAGCTAATTAAAGCATGAATAATGCGCCCGACGTGGACATCTCCCCAGATTTTACCAAGAGAGTCACTGAGGGAGCGAGAGACTGAATGTTGTGCGGTGTGTGCAGAGAGCGTGAACGCTGTAAAAACAGAAGCGAGGAAATTGTCTTTCCCGAGGTCTCACCTTTGGGACGGCACCAACGCGGATACTGTTGATGAGGGAACACTCGAGAACCTGGCCTTCCTGCAGGAGAGACGCAGAGAAAGATACAGAGAAAATAAGCACAGAGAGGATATGATAGCCGGTGCAGAGGGAGACGTGGAGGGACGGGGGAGAAGATAAGAAAACGAGACAGATGGGTCACGGTGCACTTTGTTCGGTTTGCAATCATTTCTAACACACAGAGACAACACCACAACCTCTCTGCATCCGACGACAGTTATTAACATAGGATATTATGTAACATCGCCACATCTTTCTCATTATCAAGTTTCCAATACCTAATAACACGTCCTCCTTTGTTTACTGCTGTCAGATTAGAACTCATGGTTCAATTTGGGAGTTTAATTCCCAGTGAGACGGCCTCCAGCCCCCTGCAGCACTTACACGGGATCAGCAGGTTCAGAGAATGCAGAGACACATATTAGTTTTCCTGTCCTACAGGTTTTGCTGTTGAGCAGCAGACTTTTATTACCAATATATTCTCCCCCTTGTTGATTTGAACACTATACTTGCATGAGCTGAAAACAACTGGCCACGTACAGGGAAGGAAATCATTCTAAAAATATGCTTTGGAAAATAGTCATCAGTGAGGATTTGTAGTGAGTGTAACGCACTAAAATCACCGGTACGACACTTTGTGCCAGGTTTGTGTCAGAAAAGAACGTACTTCTGAACAAGATAAACCTTTTTACTACTAAATAAACACACATACTTTGGAGGACAGGAAGATACAAACACAAGGAGGTGGAGGTCATACCTTTCCCTCACTCTTCCAGCGGATGAAAAAGCCATACTCGTCCACCGTCATCCGACAGTTGGGCTCAAAGACGTACGGGTCCTGCAGAGGGAAAAAATATTTATAAGAGAAGAGGCTTCATCATTCACAGGGTTTTATTTGACATGGGAGGACATTAAACAGTCAACCTGTTACACACACGCAGAGCTTAAGCAACCAGACAAACAGAAATAGCTAATTCATTTTCTAAGATGTACCCGATGTGCCAAAAGACGCATACAAAAACATACAAAGTATGCGCAAATGTATGTACGTATGTAATGTAAGAAAGAAAATGAAGGAGATGAAACCTTTTGCTTGGGCAAACATTAAGCGACATGAATGTGACGGCTATGAACTGTTAAACACAGTGCTGTGCGTTAGAGACAGGTGACAACCCTGGGTGAGAAGCATGTGTGTGTGTGTGTGTGTGTGTGTGTGTTTGAGCAAGATTAAAAGTGTGTTCTCCCAGCTGAGATGATGATGCTGTTGCGCACACACGCACGCACACACTCGCACTATGTATTATTTCAGGATGTCGCTCCCATGGGACACTGCTGCGAATAGGACTAAGTAGGCTTTTATTTGGCCATATCATGTCATCTAAAACCATCATAAAAACCAATTCCACAATCTTATTTCCATTATAGGAACTAGTGAGCCTGCTGTAAGTGCAGCTAAAAGCTGGACTCTTTCATCTGAATTGGGACTGACAGAGGCTTCGGTGTCACAGAGTGAAGCCACCTTAATGAAAGAGATGATCCCAATTGAGATCCGACTGTTTAGAACATACAGCAGACTACTGTTACACCATCAAATGGCTCGATGTCGTAAAACTAAAAGGTTGATGGGAACACTCAGTCCTTCTAACCCACACACGCAAATTAGCTGAAGCTCTGACCATCTCTGGGTGGATGTGGATGGATAGACAGACACCCCTAGCTATTGAAGTCCAGGTCCCACTCAACATGTGTACATTCTTTCCTAAGTGCCCTTGTGAGTCTCTCTTGTTTTGCATTAATTTTATTAAGCTAAGTAACTTAAACACGCACGCACACACGTGTTTGTTTACATCTACATTAAAGAGCATCAAGGGGATGTAAGACACTCACCATGCCCCGCCACGTTCTTATTTGCATTATAACCGAATTTTGCAATTAGTGTTCAAGCCAAGTTTGTTTTTTTATGTTTGTTACATTATTATTCGTTATAATAAAGCATGTATGGAGCAAATACTGACACCCTGCATGTACAATAGGCTTATGTTGCCTAACCGTCAACTTCAGAGTACGACTGTTTTCTAATATTTTTGTTAACAGCAGTGAAGTACGGCCGTATTCACCAGGTAAGCCTGTTTCATGGACGGAGCCGATCATTTTCAGGCATTTCGCACTCAGTCGAAATCACCAAACCAATATTATGACCTGATAGCCTACGTAGGAGTTACAGTAATACCCACCAATATTACAAAACATGTTGGAAGAAATAAATGATTAAAATGACCAACAGTTCTCAGAGTCTCCACATTCTGACTTGTTTTTCTCTGCCTTCATTAACTGTCCGTCAATATGAGGCTGTTCAGTCCACATGGAAACAAACACCGGCCAGATCTTAAGTAATTGATTTCCAATTAGTAGACAATGAATGACACACACACACACACACACACACACACACACACACACACACACACA